AGAGAGAGAGAGAGAGAGAGAGAGAGAGAGAGAGAGAGAGAGAGAGAGAGAAGAGATTGTCGACTCAGGTGTCTAAAGTATTCGAGGCTCGTATATAAGATAAATAATACGCATATTTGTATAACTATGATAGCGTGTAGAGTAGTAGCAACACGATGGGAGTGATGTTAAACTATGAGCCATTTATACTATATTATGTGACACAGCAAACATGACCGATCCGTTACCGTCTATAGGTTTCGTGCATTTAATTATATTTCTCTGTGTATTCAGCGTCATACTGTAACGTATGTAAATACGCCATGTATTGTTAACGCATTCCATCAAATGTGTTACCGATTAATTCCGCATTAAATATTAGTTGTTTAAGCGATGAAATTAGGAATTATTGTTTTTATTTACAGGCATATAGTGCGCATAGTTTAATTCGGGAATTTAACAATGTTGTTCTAGAAATCCTTTCGCCAGGCTTCTCTGTTGCTATTGTGAAACGCCTGCAGTGTGTTCTAAATGTTTTCATCGCTTAAAGCGATGATTTTATTTTATGGTAGTATTTATGGAGAGTAATTATAGCGGGCGTTACAATTTTCGTTACAAACTCTACGTTACAATTCCGGTGGATAAGCGTGCGATTGTAGATTGTAGCGACAGGACGAGAAATTTGCGGTCAAGTGTGCGCATGCGCGCGTGACGCACACATGCGAAATAGAACAGCGTTGCATGCCGGGTGTCTCGGACAGCGACGCTATTGTGTGCGACGTCAGTGTCCGACGTTGTGTCCTGTCGCCCTAATTCAAACAAATAGATCGGTCGGCCTTGATGTACCAGCGTTGTTCCGGACACAAGGAGGCGCTGTTTGCGAGCCACGATTATTTTTACGAACGTCGGCAGCGGAAACGGCGGCCGTGACCGCTGTGCGCACGCGCGACAGACGATATTACGGCGATGACGCCGTAACTGACGTCGGTCGCCTGACCGTAATTTTATGTCACGTGACCAAAGACGAAACACACACACACACACACACACACACACACACACACACACACACACACACACACACACACACACACACACACACACACACACACACACACACACACACACACACACACACACACACACACACACACACACACACACAACACACAC